AAAAACAAGTAATTAAAATCATCGGGGTGCTTTTTGGTGTGAGTCCCCTCGCCTCTCACAAACGAGAGTAATATATAAAAACAAGTAATTAAAATCATCGGGGTGCTTTTTGGTGCGAGTCCCCTCGCCTCTCACAAACAAGGGTAATACATAAAAACAAGTAATTAAAAACATCGGGGTGCTTTTTGGTGTAAGTCCCCTTGCCTCTCACAAACAAGAGTAATATATAAAAACAAGTAATTAAAAACTTCGGGTTGTTTTTTGGTGTGAGTCTCCTCGCCTCTCACAGAGCGAATTGCGTTCATTCTCTAAAATCATTTTCGTCAAAGTCCATAAATTCTTCTTCATTGTCTGATACTACAATCTCATCTAACAGTCTAAACGTTTCAAAAAGTCCAGTGTCATCAATTTCTTCTTCACTATCTTCCATGTTTTCAACAGATTCTTCATTTTCATTTGACTCTATTACTGAAACGTGTAATAAATCTCGCACACTTTTGGGAATGGACAGAAACTTTTTTTGCTTTTGTCGCATATTCAGACCAATACTGGAGATTTTTACATCAGATGTATCCATTACTCTGTAAAAAACGTCACTAAGATTGGATTCCCGATCATGCTTCCTGCTGTGATTTAGTCTGAAATGTTTGTAATCTTTATTACGCGCTTCCGAAGCTTCTTCACCTAAAACACCAACCGGTAAGAAGGCTAGTACTAATTATTTCTGCTCCATGTATGAGCAACTTATGTAGTGTCGACGTCATAGGATACAATGGATAAAGATTTACATATTTCGCAGCAGCAGAATCGCAAACAATTTGAAATTTTAAAGGATCAACTGGCAGATGAATTGTGATTGCAATCAAAATTGTTTTTATCTGCTTTAGTAATGCACAATCGATTTCAAGACATTCAGCTAAGATTTCTGGATCTTCAAACGCTTTGCGAGCCGTATTACCGTCGATAGTATTTCCCGCACCTTGTGCTTTTAGCTTGTCCACTATGAGCCCTAACTTAGATCTGAATTGTTCTTGAACTTTCTTTTTTTGTTCAGCGAATACTGCTTTTTGCTTAGCACTACGCACTTGCCATACTTGAAAATCTTGTCTGTATGAAATTTTTAAAAAACAAGAAAAGACGTTGATCCAAGAATGAAGAGGACTAATTCCATGCATTAGAGACTTAGGGTCTGGTAAAAAGATTCCGCCTTGTTTATTAGAAAGATTGTTAAATAATTTAGGTGTGGCATGGCAGATAGGACAAGTTTGCATACTTTTAGTTTCCGTAATAATATTTAACACTTTGACATCTATCAGAGTTAGAAACAATGAAAAATGAATCGATATGCTTCGAGTATCATCTAAGGCTACTTTAAGCGTTTCTAATTTGTCTATTTCATTTTCTATTTCGTTTTTCTGTCTCAAAATAACTTCTGCCGACTCAGCTACATATTCCAGTGTTAAAGGTTGACAAAATCGAACTGATTGGGGTGATCTATTATTCCATAAAATAACATTATCAGCATTTAATAACCATTGAGGAATAAGCGTAGTAGCAAATAAGTTTTTATTAGCTGGCTTTGAAAGGTTTTCATGCGAGACAGACTTAAAAGACTGTTTATATGCAGAATGACCAGAACTGCCGTTAAATCCCCATGAGCATATCAAAACAGCATTAGTTTCTATCGAATCTTTAATCTTCATATCATGAAGTATTACATCTTTTTGCAATTCAACAATTCTGCTTGCAGTGTGATTCAACAATGCCTGTAGTGATACTTCAATTTTGTTTTCACAAATTGAAATGGCTTCCTTAGGTGGCCTACATTGAGACTTTATTTCTCGAACGGCATTATAAGGTGGCCAGATATCCACACCACTTGCTTTTGTTTCCAATCGCATATTTGTATACACACTCTTACTAAAAGAATTGTTTAGCAAAAATGCTAATGCTTCTTCAGCAGTTTTTATGCATTTTTCTTCGAATCTAAGATTCGGACGACCAGGACGAGGATTGGAATTTGTTTTTTCAAGTTTATTAACCGTAATCAATTGAGGCATACTGAAACTAGAATTTAACCATTCAGCATGTTTCATTTCAAATCTAGATATCATTCTTTTTTCAGCATTAAATTTAGCATTTCGTTTAGATCTTAGAGCACAAATTGCAGTTTTAAGACGGGTTATAGACTTTTCGTGAATATTGGAAATATTAAGATCCCGTTTTTGAATTAAATAATTCACGACTAAATCGACATTCTTTAATTCTTCAAGTTTTAGAAGTATCTCCCTTTTACTAAATTCCCCCATTTTTTTACATTTACAATCAACTTTTAACTAAACAACACAAAGAAGTTTAATAACTCTAAGAGATTTTACCATAAAGGAGAATACAAAACCAAAACTTTCTTTTACATTCGAAATAATTAAATTAAATAATAATTAGACAATTCTCATATCTTTAAAACGTACTTTTATAATACTTATATTAACTGCTCCAACAGAGAATATACAATAAAATGTGACGTTTCTATATGCACAGAGAAATAAAAACAAAAGAAGGATAAATAAAACGAAAGAGCATCGACGTACGTAGACAAAAATTTGCCTTTGTAAAAAATGATATCTAAGGAAAAATTTATTGCCTTATTTTGTATATAACTCCACCAAATTTCAAAATGGGCAAAAATGGGCAACTTTAATGAAAAGTACATTTAATTTAGAAGACATTCCACGTTTAGTTTGTTTTATATCGCGTGGAAGTTAGAGGAACTCACAAATAATAACAAGTGCATTTCAAAAAAATAAACATTTTCCGACGTTAAAAGTGCTATATTTTTTTTTTTTTTTTTTTTTTTATTTTTTTTTTATTTTACACTTGTTTACAACACATAAATGTGCATACAAGGGAGTGACGCATATATAAAAATTTAATACAAAATTTCTTCGGTCGTACATCAGTAAATCAAACTCTCATTCTTTCTTTAAATATTTTAACAAGTACATTTATCAGTCTTTTAATTTCATTACTATTCGTGGAGGCGAAAAGGTCCAGCCAGCACTCGATCGGAGAGTCACTGTTTTTTCTATCTTTCATAAATTCCCCCAGCATGTGTTCACATGCTGGGCAGTCTATTAACATGTGAAATAAACTTTCATTATCTAAATGACAAAATTCGCAAAGGGTTTCTGTAGGAAATTTTATTTTTTGCTTATCAAACGCGATTCTGCATATATGTTTGTTCAGCAGTCTAATCTGCGCTAGGATCTTTTTGTATCTTAGTGGTAGATTTAAAAAAAGATAGTTACGCGAATCCCACGATAGGCCCAGGCTGGGATAGATCAAAAGGCTCCTTGATAATTCAACACAAGTCTTATCTCGTTCATAAATAAATTTCTTATACGTTTCTAAAATAAGGCGATCATTAAAGGTAAAGTTATCAAAATCCAAATCATCCAAAAGCCCCCCAATTCCACAGGGCTCAAAAAATATAGTTCTAAGTTGGTTAAACCAATTAATTTTATTGTTGGGCTGTCCCCTCGCTCGTCTCAACAGACCCAACGCGCACTGTCTGGGATATCGTGATATATCCATCTGTGAAATTTTAATTAGCCAGGACAGTACGAGCCTTAGTACCGCTGAGGCCAGGTGAGGAGACGCCGTTTCCAATCTTACTGCGTAGTTTGGGGTGCAATTTGGAAGATTTAATAATTTTTTGTAGAAGGAAAGCTTCACTTTCTCAATATCGTCTAAGCTACTCATTCCCCATATTTGGCATGCGTAAAATAGAACGCTACCCGCCAAACTTTCAAAGAGTCTAGAACACGAATCCCAAGAGTTTACCCTTGTTGAATAGATCGTTCCCAGGACCGAGCCAACCGCGGAACTCGCAGAGTCTATAAATTTTTTGGAAGCAGGGGCAAATGAACATGAATTATGAAACGGTACCCCCAAATACGTGTATTCATCAACAACCTCGATATTTTCATTGCCATACTTAAAGAATTTGAAATTTTTTTTTGCTTTAGAATTTCCGGACTTAGTGAAAATTACTATCTTTGTTTTGTCTATATTAACCGTAAGCTTATTTAAATCACAATACTTGTAAAGTGCATCCAATTTTTTAGACATTTCTAAAGGGGAGTCAGCTAATAGAACATAGTCATCTGCATATCCTTGCATGAGTATTTCCGTTTTATTATTAATTGATATTCCCCTACATCCCTGTTTTATAAAATATTCTTCCATATCGGCTATAAACAAGATAAATAAATAGGGACTTAGCACATCCCCCTGGAGCAAACCAAGGGTAATCTTCACACTTTCCGTTACTCCTTCATTAGTTCTTATGCTAGTGTATGCATTCTCGTAGAAATTTTTAATTACATGGATACAGCGGATAACTTTAAATTTTTTAATCAAACTTTTTAACGAACATACAACCACCGCTATAATATTTGATAAATAACTATAATATTCTACAAAAAGTTACATAAAATACTGTAGGTTAAGATTATTATATCTAAAGTTTATAATTCTAAAGTGGACTTTTGACCGCTTTTTGATGCTTCCTGGCCCACTATGGGCTGTCTTAAAACTTTGAAAAAGCAAATCAAATAATTTTTTGCGATGGAGTTCCATTTGACAGCGTATTTATTATTACAAAGTATACGAAAGGCTACGTGTAAAAGAATAAAATGGCTATACAACTTTTTATCAAGAATATTTTTTAAAATAACTGGACCACTATACAAAAGAAAAAAACGGAACTCTGTCGCTTTCCATTTTTTAAAATACGTCAGAGATCCAGGTTTTCTTTGAAACTCTAATAGGATATCGTTTTTCATCATAAGTATCCTTTTTGATAGTTTCAGTCTGTTTTTTACCTGGAGTTTAACTTTGGTTTGGACTTGTGTCAAATATCCAACAATTTGCTTCGTATCCCCAGAAATTAAATGCATTCCGTCCAGAGGACAACATGTGACGAGATTTATCTTTTGTTATAATTTCCGGAGAAGTGTTTTCTTATGATGATGCTCAGATTGTAATTGCATTCGAAAAGAGGCATCCGATCGTTCAGGCTTTTTCGATAACGGGTAAATTACTTTACTCCCTTTCTTACTATTTTTATTTTTTGATCTAATTCTTTTGCCTTTAACAGGGCAACGTTCGCAAGCATAGAAACCGGTGTGACCTTTTGTACACTTAAGGTCAGCTCGGGCTGAAGTATCAGCCACGAAACACTTAATTTTAACTCGAAAATCTCGTCCATCAATATTTATTTTTCTTAAATAAAGATCATTTGATTCCTGAATAGATTCGTCCAAATAATCTTCTATGTTGGGTTTGCTCTTGCCCAAGTAAATACCGACACAAAATGGTTTATAAATGTCATTTTTTGAATAAATTTTAGCCATTATCGGCCATAAATCTTAATAACCTGATACGCAGATTGGCATACCGTCGCTGCCAACGATTAGAGAAATTATCTCTGTTTTATGTTCCGCTATATTTAAGCATTTTCTTATACCTTCAGCTATTCCAAGATATACAAATTGACTCATTCCATCATTTACATCTATCATGTCCTTAATCATATATTTAGCCAACGAAGTTCCTAATAATGTTTTACAAGTTGACTGCAGTTCTGGCAAAACGCAGTACTAATTTGGTGTTATGCCAGTTTTCTGACAGTACTGATTGTAATACTTTTTTAACTCCAAAGTAGTACTGATTCGAATTTAGAGTCAGTATACTCCCAGTACTGATCGGGTTCCGAGAGTCAGTACCGACGGTCAGTACCGAGTCAGTATCATGCCGGTGTATAACTCCGTTTTAACTCCGGGCATTTCTACTTAGGGTTTTTTTTCTAAATCAAAATAAATTTCTAGTTTTTCGCAAAAAAAATAAAGATTAGCACCAATAATTTTTTCTGTGTTTTATCTGTAATCTACGCGTGAAAATAAATAAAAAGTGCCCAACGCCAGTTCACTAGACGAAGAATTGAGAGAACTGGCATAGGTATAATTATTATAAAAAATTAAAAAAAAAAATTTTAGGTTTTCGCTCAAAATGCAATGAAGATCAATTCTAATTATTTCTACTATATTTTTTGTAATCTACACGTGAAAATACAAAAGTGTACAAATTTTCAGCTCTCTGGGTAAAAAACTGTGAGCGCTAGAGAGAGGGGTACATGGTCATTTACCGTAACCGTTTTAATACGGTTCCTACCGGGTACAAACCCCTAAAAATATTTTTTTTGTGAAAAACTAGAAATTTTTTTTTGATTTAGAAAAAAGTGTGTACCCCCCTTGCTTTTCCCAATTCTTGTCTTATTGAACTAGTTTTCCTTATTTTATGTATTTTCATGTGTAGATTTGAGGAAAAATACAACGAACATAATTGGATTTTATCTTCATATTTTTTTCAGTGAAAAAAAAGTTTTTTTTAATTTCGTCAAAAACGCGTGTTTCTACCCTGGTACCCACAGTTTTGTATCTGAAGAGATGAAAATTAGTTATTTTATTTAATAATATTGTTACTCTAATTTTTTCGAAATTATTTTTGTGATTTAAATTCATTTTGCAAAGATTTTGATTAGATAACATTTTTAAAATTCAATTATTTCTTAAAATTTATGCTGTAATGCTTTTAATATTACATTATTATCTAAAACTGTAAACGAAACTTATTTTTAAATAAATTTTTAGTGGAAAATATTATTCGCAGAATAAATTAAAATATTATTATAATTGAAATTAAAAATTATAAAATAGTATATTAAGCAACAAGGGTATAAAGGCTCTCCGTAGGCCAACGTAAAGTGATTCTTTTTAGTACGTAGTTACAAAAATACTGCAAATGACAGTACAGTTAAAAAAGCTTTGTTTGTGCTTGTTCGAGTATTTTCGTAACGTTCGAGTAGTCGCAATTCTGTCCAGTAGAGGCGTGTTTATGTTTTCGTTCAGTTACCTACTTTTATCGTTTCTTACAGCTGCAACACAGCATCCGTCAAATACTGAGTTTCTAACCTCCTTTTCGCCATCGCTTATGTTCAAAATTCTGTTTTTATTCTTTAATGATATTATTTTTATTAATACGGCGAAGCACAAGACTAGGTTTCGGGGGGCTTGGTCCCCCGACGCGTCTGGTGGCTTGGGGTATTATAAAATGCGATTCTTTTAAATGTCGAAAATTATTATTACTAGAACCAAAAGGGCGCGCGTTGCGCGCCCACTTCTGGTCCTTTCCCACAACAAAAACCTTAATATAACCTTAAATTAAAACTTAATTAAATAAAAACATATGTTTATATTTTAAAAATTATTTCTCTGTTAGTAAAATTGTTTAAAAGTTTTTTAATTTTTTAAATGTAAGTTTGACAAATTGAATTTTCTAAAAAAAAATTACACGTTAATGCCTATGAAAAATTCTCATTCTGGAGAAAATCACCTTTAAAATAAGCATAACATCATTAAAAAGCATTCAGTATTTTAGAAGTTATTAAAATTTTTGTAAAACATTGTAAATTGTCATTTTTTAAAAATGTCTAATAAAATATTGATCAAATGACTTCTAAAAGATCTTGATCTATTCAAAATTTAAACATCTTTTAAAACTTAAAAGATACACAAATTTTAGTTTCCGTACATGATACGTTTTAAAATGTTTTTCATTCTCCTGAAAATGGGTATGGTCTCTAAATTTTAACTGGTAGTGTATATTATATTTTTATTAGAGTTTTTCTTATATTTAATATTAAAATAATATTTATATATATAGGGCATTCTTTCTAAATCCGGCCACCCCCCTGCACACTTTATTTTTGAAGATAAAATGTATGTATAATCAAAATTTGCGTAAGAAAGTCAAGTTTTTGATGCCGTCTGGCGAATTTTATTTCCATTTAGGGGTTGGGCAGTATGTCCAAAAAATCGTCCAAACTACCCTAAAAATATGTCCAATTGAGTGAATAACAAAGAAAAATAAAGTAATCTTTCTTGTAACAGAGAAAAAACATTTTATTTATGTAGTTTTAACACTGTACCCTCAAAATAATAAAAACCACACCTAAAAATCACCCCCTAAACATAGGTTTAAAAAAGTTCCAATTTTTCTTAAAAAAATTAGTTAAAAAAAATAAATAACATTTATAAGGCTCGCAATTTAATCAGAATATATTTTAATCAAATTTACCCCCATAAAAATAATTACCGATGAACAAAAATCATCCCCTGTACATTATTTGGTCAATTTGGTAATTATTCTCATGAACATAAACATAACATTTTTTTAAAGATTGTATAAGTCATGGAATTTTCTCACAATATATATTACCTATGTTTAAACTAAAACTAAAATTAATAAAAATAACCCCTAAAAATCATCCCCTAATCATAATTTTTACAAATTTCCAATTAGTCTTAAATTAATTGTGTACAAAAAATTTAAATACGGTCTCTGAGGTCCAGAATTTGTTCTGAATATATTTTAATCAAATTTACCGCCATAAAAATAATGACCAATGAACAAAAATCATCGTACATTATTTGGTCAATTTGGTAATAATTCTCATAAACATAGACATAACTTTTTTTTATAGATTCTATACTGCCGTCCTTTTTAAAAAAGACACTATCTACATTTTAGCTCAATCGGAGATATTGAAGGAAACGTGTTTGCATCTGGATCTCTTAATAAAATTAAAAATTTTGTAAACAAACTTATGTTCTTGACTAATTCGGACACGCTCTTTTCATTGGTGCAAAAAAAATTATTAATTTTAATTATTTATTAATAAAACTGTAGATAGTGCACATTTTTTATCCAAAAATTATGGAGAATACATGAAAAGTGCACTATGTGGTAGATAGTACGTTTAAAATTGCTTTGTCGGTCCCATTTTTACTGTCAGCCCCTCAATACATAAATTTTATTTAGAATTATAAGTTATAACTTTATTTTATTTGATTATTATTTTCTGCATGAAATTTTTATTAAATTAAATGTTAACTTTACAAAAAGAATAATTAAAATTGCTTTTAATTTGCATTAAATATATGTGTTAATACAAAATAAAAGCTTTATTTGCAAATTATTGTATTATTTTTATTTTATTTGCATAATTAAACTTGTAGATAGTGCTCTCTTGCGGAAAGTTAACCAAAGTTCGAGAAAAATATGTACGAAAAACGTCACTATGAACATAGTTCTCTACTTTTGTGACTATTGAGACCAGTTTACTGACTAACCTATGTACATAGTGCTCGTCAATCAGGATTTCAGGGGTCAAGTGGGTTGAAAATCCTGAAAATTTTGTAGATAGGTCGTCTCCTTCTCCAGATAGTGACACTTTAAAAAATATTTCTTAAAAATCTCTGTAGATAGTTTAATTATCTTCTAATCTAATTAAAATTTTCAATTACGAATACGACTATTAGATTCGTCTTTTCATTACGAATCCAACGGTATAATAAACTCATTTTTCATAAAATATGTAGATAGTGCCTTTCTTAAACTGGACGGCAGTATAAGTTATGGGATTTTCTCACAATATATTATGTTTAAACTCAAACTAATATTAATAAAAACAACCCCTACAAATCATCCCCTAATCATAATTTTCACAAATTTCCAATTATTCTTAAATAAATTGTGTACAAAAAATTTAAATACGGTTTCTAAGGTCTAAAATATTTGTTCTGAATATATTTCAATCAAATTCACACCATTAAAAATAATGACCAATGAACAAAAATCATCCCCTGTACATTAGTTGCGCAATTTGGTAATAATTCTCTTGAATATAGAAATGACATTTTTTTATACATTCTATAAGTTATGGAATTTTTTCACAATATATTATGTTTGAACTAAAACTAATATTAATAAAACGAACTCCTAAAAATCATCCCCTAATCATAATTTTCACAAATTTCCAATTATTCTTAAATAAATTGTGTACAAAAAATGTAAATACCATGTTTAGGAGAATAATTACCAAATTGGGCAACTAATGTACAGAGGATGATTTTCGTTCATTGGTTATTATTTTTATGGGGGTGAATTTGTTTGAAATATGTGACTGTCCGCGACAAAAGGGACCTTAGCTCCCATGTATTTACATGGAGCTAAGGTCCCTTTTGTCGCGGACAGTCACATATATTCAGAACAAATATTCTAGACCCCAGAAACCGTATTTAAATTTTTTGTACACAATTAATTTAAAAATAATTGGAAATTTGTGAAAATTATGATTAGGGGATGATTGTTAGGGGTGGTTTTTATTAATATTAGTTTTAGTTTAAACATAATATATTGTGAGAAAATTCCATAACTTATAGACTGTATAAAAAAATGTTATGTCTATGTTCATGAGAATAATTACAAAATTGACCAAATAATGTACAGGGGA